GGAGCCAGACGCCGAGGGGGCGGGGGCGTTCGCACAGGCAGCCGGCAGGCGCGTACTTATTGGAGTCCGCGTCGCCGGAACTCCCGCCCTCCCGTCGTCAAAGGCCGGAGATGCCGTCACTCACGTCCACGTGCGGGGACAGAGAAGCGCGGGGACCAATGGAAAGAGAGGTTGGTGCCGAGCAAGTTAACGGGATTGGATAACGGACCGAATTGAGGGGCGTGACCCAAAAATTTAATGAGAGGGGGAGGAGGTTATAGGAGGTGAAAGGGGAAAGGTTTGAGGAGCTCAACCGAGGCAAAGGCGCTAGAGGAGTGCAGGGGTGGAGTTTAAAAGAGGGGGCGGGACACAGGACGCCACAGCGGGAGGTACATTAATAAGGGGCAGGCATTGGCTACCACGGAAAATAAGACCCAATCAACGTAGGAGGCGGGTTATTGACAGCCTAACTGATCCTCATTGGGGGTTTGATATAAAAAAAGCAGGTGATTAGGTACCAGCAGAGAAGCGCCTCAAGGTATAAGGCATACATTGGCTACGGGGAGGAGGCGGGGTCTGATGGGGGGATGGCCTTTGGCTGTCAAAATTGGAAGGTTCAACACAAAACAGGGATGAACCAGTGCCAGCGCTAGGGGGTGTGGATTAGAAAAGGGCGGGACCTAGAAAAAGCTCTTTGCATAAACAGGTGCAAATAGTCAGATACTCATTTTTTTACTTAGGAAATTTTTATTGAGCACCGACTATGTGCTAAAGCCACAAAATGCACAATATACATGTTAACTCGGTAAAAAAATTTAACCTTGCGTTTCCAAATCACTTAACAGCTCTGTGTCTTAGTCTCCCAATCTGTAAAATGGAACTCACAATGGTAACGATCCCACAAATTCGCGGGAATTGAGTGATTTCCCCAAACAACAAAGGCACTTGAAACCATGTCTGGCAATAGAAAATACTAGGAGCTTTTGACACTGGGAGTCTGGCTTCCAGGAGCTCATCACGTTTTTTTCTCTTTGGGCCAGGGATTTAGCTCAGTGGTTCCAGCGCCTGCCTCACATGCACAAGGTCCTGAGTTCAGTTCCCAGTACTGAAAAAAGAAACACACAAATAAAATAAAATTAGCATTTAATTATGATAACTATGTTTTTTTCCTCTTTTTAAAATTAGGATTCATTTTGAGTGAGATGTGGTGGCACACAGGTGTACTCCCACCACTGGAGAGGCTGAGGCAGGAGGACCGCCATGAGTTTGAGGCCAGCCTGGATACACAGTTCAAGACCAAGCTGAACTGCGTAGTGAGAGCCTGCCTCAAAAAACAACACCACACAAAACAAGGATTTGTTTTAAGCAAATAAAGAAAAAGAACTAAGAAAGGCTGAATGATGGTCACTTGTCTGTCCTGGGGCACCACTGAGGGCTTCCTGGAGGAAGTGAGTTGAACCAGAGACTTGGAGGATTATTAGAAGTTGGTCAATACAGCTGGTGGTGTGGGTCAGTGATAGACACAAGGCCCTAGATTACATCCCCACCGCTGCAAAAAATAGGAGGGAGAAGCCGGGCATGGTGGCACACACCTGTACTCCCAGCACACGGGAGGCTGAGGCAGGAGGATCCTGTGAGTTCGAGACCAGCTTGGGCTACATAGTGAGTTCCCGGGCAGTCTCAACCACATAGCCAGACCCTGTCTCAACAAACCAAAATAAAAGGAGGAGGAAGAGAAGTAGGGGGACGGGGAGATGGTAGCCAATACCTGGCCAGGCCACTGGGGCAGAGGAGAGAAGAAAGGCAGACTGGATGATGCCTGAGTGGTGGGTGGCGGAAAGGAGATAAAGTGAGTCAGATCCATCGAGGACTTTGTCCAAACACCTCTTGAAATTCAACTGGAAGTTTAGGTTTCACTTTTTGTTTGCTTGTTTGTTTTTTGAGACAGGGATCTTACTATGTAGTTGAGACTGACCTGGAACTCACTATGTAGCCCAGGCTGATCTCGAACTCACAGAGATCCTCCTGTCTCAGCCTCCCGAGGGGCTGGGAGTACAGGCGTGCGCCGCCACGCCTGGCAGTTTAGGTTTCACTTTAACTTGTTAAAGCTGCAGGTGTAGCTCCCTTCTGTAGCAATCACAAGGTGCTGGGTTTGACCCTCAGTGCCACAAATAGAAAAAAACCTCTTGGGAAACCATTGGAGGACATTTTTATCTCTGGGTACAAAGACTAGGTATGTGTGCCTAAGAGGGCTACCAGGGATTAAACTCAGGGCCTTTGCACTGAGCTACATGCTTGAACTTGTGATCTTCCTATCTCAGCCTCCTGGAATGCTGGGATTATGTACATGAACCAGCACACCTGGTTTAGACTTTTTTTTTTTAGAACTTCTATTCCTCAGTACTATGAGGGTTATATCTACCCCAGAACATACATTGCAGTCCTACCCTCCACACCTATACAACTATATTACACATAGAGCCTCATGGAGGTGATTAAGCTAAATGATGGTGTAAGGTTCAAGGCAGGTCCATTCCAACAGGAAGGCACCAGAGTGATCTCTGTAATTTTAAGACTGTGAAGGTGTCCCTTCCTCTGCAAGCTGGTAAGAGAGCTCTTCCCAGACCCTGATCACGGCCTCAGACATCAGGCCTCTCAAACGATCAGCAAACATCAAATATTGTTTTGGTACTGGGGATCGAACCCAGGACCTTGTGCTTTGCAAGACAGGCAGCAGCACCAATGAGCTACCTACATCCCTGGCCCTGAGAAAACATCTCTTTTTTGTTTTGTTTTGCTTTGTTTTGTTTTGGGGGTGCTTTTACCGGGGATCGAATCAGGACCTTGCGCTTATGAGGCAGGTGGTGGCACCACTGAGCTAAATCGAGGACCCATATTGTTGAAGCCACCCCGTCTACGCTATTTTGCTGGGGCAGCCCTAGCTAATACACTAGGAATTTACTCACACACTGGGAACACTCTAGGAGGCTGAAGCATGAGGATTAGAAGTTTGAGCCCAGCCAGCCTAAGCAACTCAGAGACTTAGTGCAATCCAGTCTCAAAACAGATAAGAAAACCAGGCATACAGGTATGCAGGGCACCAGTGTAATCCTATCACTTGGGAGGCTGAGGCAGGAGGATTGCTTTGAGTTCTAAGCCGGCCTGGCTTACCTAGTGAATCCCAGCCTGGGCTGTACAGCCAGACCTTGTCTCAGAAACCCAGTACATTAGATAAACAAATTGCTGGGGATGTAGCTCTGTATAAAGTCCCTGGGTTCCATTCCCACTACCATTTTTTAAAAAAAGTGTTTTGCAAGCCAAGTGTGGTGCACACCTCTAATCCCAGATACTCAGGAGGCTGAGGCAGGAGGTTCAAAAGTTTGAGGCCACCCTAGGCAATTTAGTGAGATCCCGTCTTCAAATAAAAAAGACTAGCGGAAGTTAGTGCTAGAGCACCTGTCTAGAAGGCTGCCCCTCCTCCCTGGAGGGTGAAACACTGAGACCCCCTGTAACCTGGGAGAAAATGTCAGTACTTATATCCTACAGTGGGTGGCCTGAGGGCTGC